GTAAAACATGATGGAATTTTATTAACTATCTGGGACATGACCAGTTATTTTCCTTGCTTATAAACTGTTTACCACATTAGCTATTGAAAACTAAATCACAGACTATGAATCAAATGATATCTATTTAATGTGTTCAAAAATCTAATCCCAGATTCATCCTTTAGGATCTACAACAAGTTAACAATCAAGGGGAACACTACTGAAATTATTTTACAGTCATAAAGCCAGGAATTAGTCTGAAAGTTGATCAAAACAAAATGTATTTTAGTTCAGTTTCATAGTCCTACAATTAATAGACAGTTATATTTTAGTTGAAGATTCTGTTTAAACATGGAATGAAGGCTGGATTGCCATGGCACAAGGGCCTGCATCCTGGCTGAGAGTATTTTTACCTCTAAAGTTTCATTTAGGGTCAAATGAGCAGAAACCTTACACCGTTAGTTAACATTTAACCAACTGTGTAGTGGTTTAAGCTAATGTTAGCACTACATCTGGAAGCATCACGTCAGTGAGTTAAGAGGCAGCAAAGTTACTACTGCAGTGGCTGAGAGGAGCAAACTCTTCCATTTTACAAATACTTTATTTGCACTGAGAGAGAGAGTATGTCTTGCTGAAAGGGATCTATGTTACTATTTGATTAAAAAAAAATTTCCAAGGATCTAAATCTACAAACACAACGTGATATCCCAGGCCACCAGAATCTGGCATCAGAGTGAACTCCTAGTCCAGGCCTGGTACTTTTCCACTGTCCAAGTCTTTGTCAGTGCCTGTCCCAGCACCTCTCTTCCCTCAAGCAGGAAATCAAACCCCCTTCCCAGCAATCTTGCTGAGGCTTCCAGGCAGGGAATGTAGTACTCACTGACAAGATTACAGCTCTTGGTCTTTAGCTATCACTTGTCAGTAATTAATTTCTCAAATATGCATGCCATTAACTTAGTCCCTAAACGCCCAGGGTTAATGACATGCATTTACATATAACAGGTAAAGTATTTAAGTAAGAGATTCAGTCTTAAAATGTGTCATTTTTCATCTTTTGAATAGCACTTGATAAGCCAATTTAAAAGAGTATTTGAGAAATCTGTTAACAAACAATTACTTTATAAAGATACTAAAAATGTCCCATTCCTTTTTAGGGCAATTTAAGGATTAAAGTTTTTTAAAAAGAACATTGGGACAAAAAGCCACTGAACACTGAATCTTAAGTCTAAAGAAAATTTTAGTTCCTGCAAGAACTCCATGGTGATGAAGACAGAAGTGTTTGGAATACTATAATTTTCTATTTTAAATGTCAAGAATAGCAATAAGCAAATGGAGCCAATGAAATTTAAGAGAAGAGAAAATGTAATTTTCACTCCTGGTTAATTACTGATGTTGAAAGAATGTGGAACCATTTTTATTGTCAACATAGTAGATTATGTGTTTTTCACAGTGGAAAGCTATTACAAGGATCTTCAACTCCAAGCTCACTTCACACATACATTTGATGGAGGTTAACTTATTTTGAATACTATATTAAGAGGATTGTTGTGATAATGTAACTGAGGAGCCCTCTGTAGTAGTTTTCAGTGCTGTAGTTTCTTGAAGGTAAGCCAAGTATCCCAAGAATTTTTGTATTCCTCACTGCATTTATCATACATTGGGTAATTAGTCTGTAATGTATACATAAAATGCTGAGGCAAGAATGTGAGAAAGAAAAGGAAGGGGTCGGGGGTCTATGTGGGAGGTCAATGGCTCCAAAGAAAGCACCTGAACCGACCAATCCTGCCTACACAGCTACTTGCTGCTCTTAAGCAATCAGTTACCTTGTTCCTAAAATATGGCTACTCATGCCTACCTCTAAGGCTTGTGTAAGGGATTTGTAGACTTCCTGACACATAACAAGTACATGATGCTTCTTTTTGAACACATATGTAATTAGTACTTACACTATCAGGTGTTGTTCTGGGAAGACAGCATAAAGGTTAGTGTAGTGCCAGTTGCCAAAATGACCCATTGATATGACATGGTGAGAGAAATGCTGCAGAAATCATCTCAAAGAAGGTAAGGAGATAGAATAACAGATGAGGTGGGTGCATGCTGGCCGCAGTACGCTCATATCGTGTTCAGAGAAGCCTTCTCTGGTAGTACTTTCTGGCAGCCAAGCCAGGAAACCTGCCTGGACCATGGCTGGCTGGATGCAGATGCCAGTCTGCATAAGAAATAAGCAAATGAGCTTACACTGAACATCTATATATACTTGAAAAGATAACACATAGTTGCTATTACCAAATGCTGCAATCATGATGGATTAATGCATGGGAAATGAATAATGCCTGCCATTGTTCCTTAATTCTAATGTGTTTCAACTAGATGTAGTAGTTGAGTTTTATGAAAATTCAGTTTCTGTAAGTCAAAAATGGTGGAACATTATCATAAGGTTCAATGGATTTGCTGGATAGGGATGGTGAAAAGGCAAAGTACATGAGCTCTGGAAAATAACTGGATTTGAATCTCAAACTCAGGACTCATTAGCTATAGTCTTGAGCAAGCTATTTAACCTTTTTCTCCTTGGGTTTCCTCTTACAGGGTAACAGTATAATCTAAGCCACAAGACTGTACCAGTAACTGAATAAAATATATAGGTAAAATATTTAGCACAGGGCCCAAGAAATTAATAAACAAATGAACCAACTTGTGTCATTTACATAAGCAAATGATTAATTCTGCATCACAATAGTTCTTTTCTAGGTACTCAAACTGTATTTTACAGTTTTTGATCAAATAATTATTCCTTGTGTTTACACAATTCATTCCTTAAATAGCTAGCTAAGAAGGTCAATATTCTATGGCTCTAGGCAAGGCTATGGCCTTGGGGAATTAAAAATATTTCATGTTACATGTTTTTAACTTTGTCTACCAATGCTAATCCATTCCCTTTACCCAAGTAATATAATTACAAAATAAGAAAAAGAACTCTGTAGCTTTTCAATTAGAGTCAGAAGCTGCTGGCTAAAGAAATATTTGCTCAAAATTCTTTTAGTACCTTGAGCACAACACATTGCTCTTCAGACATGTAAAGCAGTTTGACAGTAAGGCACTGCTAAATTCACAGTAAGGCATGATTAGCCACTCCTAACTCTCAAATGGGTAATTTGATATTAAATAATTGTGTGTGCATTAATTGAACACATTATAAAGAACTTGCAATGAAACGCAGACGCAAATGTAGTAACTGGCAAGTTTCATAAATCAAAAACGACTTCACGGTTGCAATTCACAAAATTGTGCCCCAAACAATTTTTAAGTATTTGAAATCCGTTATTTTTTATGGAAAAACCTCTTGCCCTCGATATTTTTCAAGTCTGTAAAAATAAATGTTGACTTTTGCTTTTCAAACTGTATATGCTCTTTATTTCATACGGTGACTTCATTCTATTACACAACCCTGATGCCATCTCGAAGCAAAGCATCTCAAAACACTGTTTACGCTCCCCTCCTTACTCAATCCACCGCTGCGTTCACTGCTGAACCTAATTCGCTTTCTAAATAACGGAACCGCGCAACAAGCATCCCCTCCCGAGGGCGCGCGTCCCGCCGCCCACGCCGCCCGTGGGTGCGCACGCGTGACTGCGCGCTGATAGGCGGGTCCCCGCCCAGCGCTCCAAGGCTACTTTCCAGCTTCCCAGCGGATGGCCGCGCCACGGGGAGCGCAGGCGACGACGGGAGGGTCGTCACGCGCGGCTCCACCCGGGAGCGGCGCGCCCAGCAGGCGCCTGCGGAGCCCTGCGGAGGCACGCTGCGGCGCGGCCAGGGACCCAAGTCAGGCCTGCCCGCCCCACCCGCAGTCATGACCCGGACTCGTTCCTGAATAGAGACCGACGCCGCGCAGGTCCGACGGGCCGGCGCACGGTGCGAAGCCACCCAGCCCCCAACACCCAGGGCCCCTAGCTGGGGTGGCTCGGAACGGCCAGTCCTGTCACGGCACGAGGCGGCCGCCGCCCCCCTCCCCACGCAGGCGCGCTCCGGGCCGCGCTCCGGGCCCCGCCCCCGCCGCGCGCTCCCGGGCCCGGCGGGGCGGGGCGACCCTCGGAAGGGGCGTGGCCACCGGCCTCGCCGCGCGCACGCGCTCTCGCGCCCCACGGCTACGTGTCGGGCCACGTGACGCCCACCCCGAGAGTCCCCCCTTGAAGCAACAGGACGTTAAAAAAAAAAAAAATCTCTTTTCGGGGGATAGCGGGGAGGGTGGACGAGAGGTATTAAAAAAACTATAGTAACGGGGGGGAGGCGAGGGCCGCCGGCGGCGAGCGCAGCGCCGGCGCGTCGTGGCGCGTCCCGGGGAATTCCTCTCGTCGACCGCGCCCGCCCGACCGCGCCCGCGGCCCCGGCTCCCGGCGGTAGAGCGCGGGGGCGGCCCGGCCCCCGCCCCGCACGCCCGCGGCCCCCACCCGCGGCGCCCCGCGCCCCCCGCCCTCGGTCACCCGACCCGGCACCCAGGCCGCCCGAGCCGGATCGGGAGGGCAGCACGGCGCCAGCGGCCGGGCCGGGGGCGGTGGGCGGCGGGAGCGCGCCGGCCGGGCCCCGCTAACGGCCGCCCTGCGCGGCCCCGCCCGCCCCCGCCCCCGGCCCTCCCGCCGCCCCTCCCCCCGCCGCCGGCAGCGCCGCCTGAACTGAGGCGAACTCCGCCGCCAAGTGAGTGAGGAGGAGGAGAGGAGGAGGAGGAAGAGGAGGAGCGCAGTCGGAGCGCGGCGGCAGCGGCAGAGCGCCGCGGCGGGGACAGCAGAGAGCCCGAGCCCGCGCACCGGCGGCGGCGCTGAGCGGCGCGACAGCAGCAGCGGCGGCCCGGTCCAGCGCGGCGCAGCGGCCCGCGCCGCACTCGGAGACCCGCCTCCGCCGCCGGCCTCGCGAGGGAGCGCCGCCCGGGCGGCCGAGGCTGCCGGAGCGCGGGGGGCGGGCGGGCGCGCGGAGCCGGCCGCCGCGGGGCTCGGCGCGGGGCCCGGAGCGGGAGCCGGCGCGGAGCGGGACGCCGCGTCCCGAGCGGCCGGCGGCCGGGGCTCGCCCCCGCCCCTCCCTCCTCTCCGGCGGCGGCGGCGGCGGGCGGAGTGAGCTGCGGAGCCTGGAATATGGTCGGGGAAATGGAAACGAAGGAGAAGCCGAAGCCCACCCCAGATTACCTGATGCAGCTGATGAACGACAAGAAGCTCATGAGCAGCCTGCCCAACTTCTGCGGGATCTTCAACCACCTCGAGCGGCTGCTGGACGAAGGTGAGCGGCCCGGCGGGCCCGGCCCGCCCGGGACGGAGGGGCGGCGGGAAGGTCACGGCCGGGCGGGACGCGCGCCCCGGGACCGGGAGGCCGGCGGCGGCGGCGGCGGGCGGGCGCACAAAGGCGGCCGGCACGCGGCGGGCGGGGACTGGGGCCCCTCCGGGCCCGGTGGCGGCGCGGGGAGGCGGCCGCCGCGGCGCAGGCCGGGGTCCCGGGCCACCCTCCCGCCGGCCGTCGGGTTCTGCGGGCGGCCGCGCAGTCGTGCGGGCGGGACCCTCGGGCCTCCAGCCACGCCGTGGCCGGGAGAGCTCGGAGTGCCCGCGGGGAGCACTTCTGCCCTTTTGTTGGGGAAGCGAGAGCAGTTGGGGAGTTTGACTTCACTTTTTGGGGGTGGGGTACGAAATGCCGCGCACACGGCCCGGGGCCGAGGGAACCCGGGCGGAGGGCGTGCTCCGGGCCGCCGCCCGGGGTCGGCCCGGAGAAAGCCCCAAGAAGCGAAAGTTTGCGAGAGCTGCGTGGCGGGGCGCCGCGGGCCGGAGATTGACGGCGGCCGACGCCGAGCTGGCCAAGTTGCTGCGGCCCGAGCGCAGACGCCCGCAGCCGGGAGGCGGCCCGCGGACTCGGCGCAGGCAGCGGAGTTGGTGCCGGAGCTGCCGGCCGCCCGAGGACGCCGAGGCCGCGCGCCGCGGGGACGCACCGCCGGCCCCAGATTTCCCAGGAATTTCGAGGTTTTTCACGTAGAGCCCGGGAAAGGAGAGGAGCCCAGGAAGTTGGAATGTCACGTTGGAACAAAAGACCGGAATATCTCCCTGGTAAAAGGGAGTTAGAGGGATCTCCGCAGCTTTTGTTGACTCGAAAGTCGAAGACGCGGTTCTAAAATGGGAAACCTTGAGGTGCTGCTGCCTTGTTTGGCTTAGGTGTTAAACGTACAGCAGTAACGCACCTGGCAGCGGGCGCCTGCCACCCTTGGATCAGCCTATCTGTTCATCCCAAACTGTTCCGGAGCAAACGAGCTGGCCCTTTAAGGGGCTCTGCTTTTCCTATTTGTGTTGGCATTTGAAAGATTGTGGAGGCAGAAAACTTTCTGGAATGTCAAAAAAAAAAAAAAAAAAAAAAAAAAAGCAAGCTGGAACTCTTAAATTGAATATTTCCAAATGTGAGCGCTAAGGGGCGCCAGTTATTTTTTTTTAAACCGTGGAAACGTTTGCAACAGAATGTGTATGTAGTATACTCAATAATCTGACCTGTGTTAAAGTTTAGTTGAAACTCAAAGATAATTTCATCTGCCGTTATGTGTTCAGAAATGTTTACAAACATGGAAAACACTGAGTATACGCAGTTTTTTTTCCCACCTTGGCCTAGTTTGGTTAAGTTAAAGTTTAAGGAATATTAGTAACAATTTCTAGTTAAAAATATTTAAATACAGTTGTTTAGAAAGAATCCTTTTATATACATTAAAACGAACATTGATCTTGACAGTATTTAGAGTTAATTAAATTTTATTCCCAAAAAGCTAAATTAAGTTGAACTGCATAGGAAATTATAAAAGTCAGGAAATACTTCTATTGTTTATGTGCTACTTAAAATACTAAATAATTTGAGTTACAATTTGACTAGTTTAAAAGGTCTCTCATTTGTGTTTTTATGTTGATCTGAAAGCTCCAAATCAATTTGCATTTGGGTCCCTGTTAAGTTTCTATTCTTTAGCTTTAATAATTTTTAATCCTCCAAATCTAGAAATTTTAGTTTTGTCATTATCTTTAACACCGGTTTCTTTCTTTCCTTCTGGTTGGAAATAGCAACCTTTTGAGTTTTAAATATGGAAGACCACTAGGATGATATATTCTTAACAATGTATTTTTCCTTTTTATATGGCTTGTTCTTTCATTTTAGTCTATCTTTTACCCTTTTCAATTCCCGGTTGCATAGATTGCTTCAGTGTGGTAGCTGGCATATTTAAAATGGACAGCATAATGACTAGGAAGTTTGATTGTTTTTTATCAGAGCAGTACAAACATGCAGGAAAGGGGGCTATTCCTTAGTGTGGAATAAGCTGCTTCCTGTAATTGTTAGCCTTGTTATAAACTTAATTTGACTTAAGAAAAGTATTAGTTTCTTAAGTGCATCTCATTTTTTACTTGTTGGATAGTTTAATTGTGAATTTTGTCACGTTGTGTTTTACCCCTTCGCGGCCTGTCATTGTCTAAAACAAATTAATCATGATGTCTGTGGTTAGGAATTACATTTTCTTTTGTCTATAATGCTTGACAAAAATTCATATGAATTTCTAAGTTTTAGTTTAGTGATTAGTGAAGTTAAGATATTTTACTTATGAGTGGGCATACTTTCTGATAAATACCAATTTTGAATGAGCCTCTTGGGCAATTTTGTTTTAAGATACTTTTTGAATAATACGTTTCAAAATATTTTGTCTGTCAGTTGGCGAGTTTTTATTTGGCTAGTTGCACGTTTGGGAGTTAAGTATTGGTTGGATTTCCCTACTTTATTAAAACGTCAGTGCTTTAGAAGAAGTATTTATTCCCATGCCAAGTTAAAGTTAACCTTTAGTCTGTATCCCAATTATAGACACTCTTTATGTTTTATTGTTTAGTTTTGTGTGGAGTTGTCAGTCTTTTTATCCCAAGTATCTTCAACATGGTTGTTTTTTGAAATTGAGAACATATTTTAGGTTGGTCCAGTTATATAAAGGTCCTAACTTCAGTTGTTAATCCTAATACTTAATCTTTTAGCAAAGTTAGAGATGATCACTGGATTACAGATGAAGCAGGTCTTCAACTGCTCTCTCCAGAAAGTTTTCCACAGAACCCTGACCGTCCGTGGGAAAGAGCTACACAAAAGAGTTTATAGGGAGGGTTTTTTTTTTTTTTGGTCCTGGAAATGGGAAGCAATAGCAATAGTTGCAAATTATGTGTTTATAAAATTTTGTAATTTAGAATGAAAAAGGTGAAGAATGAAATTAATTTGACTTAAAAATCTCAAATAGAGGAAAATGGAGAATAAGGAATTATTTAAAATCAGATTTTGAGTTTCATTTTTTGAAGTATTTTTTTTTTTATGGGCAGTGGGGAGGTTAAAGTTGATAAAATTTAGAATATGATTTGTGAGGAAGGGTAGACTAAGTCTTATTGTGGGTATTAGGAAAATTAGTGTGCAGCTCAGAAAAAGCCAACAAGATTCTGCATTCATGGTTTCAAAAATTATTCTTCATTTTTTGATTTTTTTTTTCCTGGTAAAAATTTTTCTTCTCCCTTAAAAATGTGAAAAGAAATATTTTAAATTAAAACTTGCTTAATAGTAACATTTTCCATGTAAATTTCATATTCATTCATTATTGGACATGTTGTTCCTGTAATTTTCTTGCATTTCGTTTTTATTTTAATAACTTTATTTTTTTGAGAAACTTGTCTACAAAAGCTTTGGTTTAAAATTACATGGCTGCTGGTAATCAGAGGACTCTGGCTGTGTAGTTTTTTAGAATTTTACCCTTTTTTTGTTGTTGGAGAAGGAAACCTTGTTGACAGTAATCAATATCTGTGACAGATTTTACTTGAGGTGAGGTAATTAATCTGTTGGTTTGAGGCTAAGATTCTATTTTTGTACATGAGCCCTTGCACTAGTTGGGATAATAAAAAGCCTAGCATTTTATCATTGCTCTTCTTTCCATTATCCTTCTTTCTTCTTCCCAGGGAGGTGTCACCAGCTATATATGGCAGTAATGGAAATAATAATTTTGTATTATGTTATAGGCTATTTATTCAGCATTTATTCTGTACTGTCTGACCTAGAAGAGGTGGTTCCTTTTTAAACTTTATCCAGTTTACATGTTTTACAGTATGGTATACTCTCAAAGATATATGACAGTTGTGATAATAAAAATGTCTCTTTGCCAATTGCATTCACCCGTGTATTTGGTATGAACACTTTTTCCTTAATGATTTTGAGAATATCCAGTTGAAACAAGTACGTTTCACTTTTTTTTTTGTTTTGTTTTGTTTTGCCATGGTTCAGTCCCATGGCCTAGACATGCTCTGCAAGCACTGTACCACTGAGCCACACTCCCAGCCTGCATTTGATTTTTAAAAGTGCTTTGTGTACATTTCTCTTATTATTGCAGCACTGTCACTGTCCTGGAGCTGCATGGAACTTCATCAGGTTCTATGAGAACAATTTTTTTTTTTTTTTTTTAAGTGAACTAGTCTGGGGTGAAATGGAGGAAAATAAACCCTATTGCTTTGACCTGGACTTTCCTGAAACATGATTCAGAGGCTCCTTTTTTGAGGCCAATTATCTTAGACATGTGATGTTTTTTCTTTTGTTTTTGTTAAGAAAATTACACCAATGAGATCACAGGAGCAGCTTTTTATAAACTGGAACTACGGTTTAGTTTACTTGAGAAATTCAATGTAGCTAATAAAGTTTGTCTGGTTTATTTGTTGATGCAGTTGTATGCAAAGATTGCCTTTCTCGGTCAGAGATGGAAAATACTGGGACTTTGTTGGGTTTTGTTTGCTAACTTAAAATGATAGCCCACTGTCCAGCTGCTGTCAGAATATCTAAAAATCTCTTTTAAAGTCAAGGGGACTGGGGATGGTGAATAGGCCCATGTCAGGGGATCGTAATTACATGCCAGATTTTTATTTACATGGTTGACAGGACTTTATTACTTCTTCGGATCCCTTTATTTGACATCAGCTGTTCAATGTGAATTTTAAGCTCTGTAGTTTTTTCTTATAATGAGAACTTTTTGGGGAAACATACGCCATTTTGAAAAATAGGCATTTCAGTCTTGGGGCCCCAAATAGCTAGGTTATTTAATGTCCAAAAGAGATTTCTTACAGCCTTGTATTCATTTAACAGAAAAAGAAAAATATTCAGCTTATCAATCATTAGTATTTGTTAAGTTATTCTGACGATGTTAAGAAGTGGTCTGTGAACACCTATCCATTCTGCTTTTTTTTACATGCTACTTTATTACCACT